TCAGTTGGTAGCATCTCACGAAGGGAATGATGACAGCGTGATAAGCTGAGTGATTAACGGATGTGATAAAAAATAGAGCTTGTATCCTGGGTGCAACTGGCCAAGGTGAATTGCAAATGGGAGAAGAAACTAAAAATTAGGAGCAAATTCGCGTGCATTATCTGAGCCTCATGTGGAGTAGTGATTTTCACTGATACAGCATAACATGTTTCTAGCACATCGCAAACTAACTTCTGGAACGTTCGACGGCAGAATCATAAGATCATCACCATTGCCGGCGAAGACGACTCCAGGCAAGCTGCCCAACAACCCCCCAGGGTTATTAGCTCTCGGCTCTAAGCTATAGGCACCAAAAACAAGTCAGCACAAACTCTCCATGGGGTAACATCACGGTAACCCTCTAATGGCATTTCAAGGGGTGACCCCGTACTACTCTGTTCATCGGAGTGCATTTAAATCTGACATCCAAGCCAAACTCTTGTAGTGACCCAGAAACATTCTCAAAAGCAACCAGCTTACTTGCTGTCACCTGGGATAAGAGTGGATTTTGAGTTATTCATCGCCGCTACTGAAAATACACACCAAAGGCACAACTACGTTGCTTTTAGCACACCATTACTGGCCAATTTTCGATCAGCGAGCAGAGTTAGTGTGCTTTCACTGCATTTCAGCTCTCATTGGGGAACAAGGTGAAAAACCATTCCCTGAGCACTATGCACTGTACACCCCCCCACCTCACCCCCCCCACACCCCCCTCCCTCTTCCCATGTTGTCTTTCACGCCAAACCAACAGCGCGATATGGCTGGCTCGGCATGTCATTGTTTCCGAACCTAGAATTCTAGACTATCGCGCAAGCATCACGTCTGCAACGAGTTACGGCAGCCACCAGAAAATACATTCTCTCTACTAGGTGTTCGTCAACTACTGCTAGCACTCAGATTTTGAAACACATATGTAGGGACACATCAAAATAAACATACTGATAACATTGATGCATGTAAAAAGAATCCCTTTTCCTTGCTCCGCGCCCCTGTTTACCGCGTACATAACTGTTCCCACCTGTTACAATCCCAAGTGGGACTTAGCCAGGGATCGTGTCAGGGTTGTTCGCAGGTGATATTGCAGCGGAAGTGTTGACCTCAAATCAGAGTGAATGTAAAATGACTGAGATTAATAATAGTATGCATACATCGAGTTTATATAGGAAATACAGGGAATACGAAGAGTCCTAGACTAGCCAAGTACTCTAAGGGTTACATTCCCTTATTGCAGCGAAGTTCAAACCGTGCGGCGCGGGAACCTGCTCAAAACCTGTCCCCGCTCTTTTCATTTCAAATGTTAACTGCCTGCATTGGACTTGATCTGACGGTTGCTGGCGTTGCTTTGAATCTTCTGACGCCTCCACTTTGTACTCGGTAGAGTCGGCCCCAGCAGCATACAGGAATGCCTTCTCATTGAATTTCATATCGTAACACTCCCCTTCATTCCTGGCCGCGCAGAGGGCTGACTCCCTTGACTACCCCGGTGAGGTCGAAGCAGTGTTCGTACTGCTGACGTGACAGTCGCTTGGTGAGGAAGTCGGCTGCCATCTCAGTAGTGGGGCAATATGCGAGGTCAACTTTGCCCTGCTCAATTTCGTCTTGACGAAGAAGTATCGGAGTGCGATGTGCTTCGTGTGGTTCACGAACCCCAGATTGTTCGCGATCTTGATAGCGCTCTGGTTGTCGTAGTGAAGGCGAAAGGTGGCCGAAGTTGGAATTTTTGCTTCCTGCAGGCATAGGCCTTCGCGGACTGCTGCTGTCGCGGCGATGTATTCTGCTTCGGCCGATGACAGGGCAACCAGTTCCTGCTTCTGTGAGTTCCGGGAGATGGGTCCGGTTGGCTCCAAGCGGAAGATGAAGCCGGTTCGTGACCGTCGATTCGCAGGGTCAGCGGCATGATCTGCGTCCACGTAGCCGTTGAGGTTGAAGGAGGTTGTCGTCAGCGTGGAGTAGGAGAGCCCGATGTCAGGTGTGGAGATGAAATACTGCAGGGCGCGCTCCAGGTCCAGCTGGTTCTCAACTATTGGCAAGCGGGAGTATTGTGCCAGTTGGCTGGCGATGTACGAAAGGTCCGGTCGCCATGTGACAGAGGCGAACAGCAGACACACCAGTTGTTGCTGGTATAGTTGGAGTCCTGCGGGCGACAGAGGTTTGTTGTCCGGTTTGTAGTTGGCGCTGGGGTTGTAGTAAGGAGTGGAGAGTGGTGCGGGTGAAATATTGAAGCGTTCCCCCAGCTGCTCTGCGTACTTGGAGGCTGACAGATGAATTGCTTCTGGCGCGTAGGTGATGTTCAGCCCCAGGAACTGTGTGACGTTGTGGTTGATGGTGATGTCCACGCGCTTCGCCAGGTTCTCCTCGAACTGGTTAAGGATTTTGTTGCAGGTGCCAGTGTAGAGCAGGTCGTCGACTAGACAGTCAGGAGGATGTAATCGCCGTTGAAGTGGAGGCGGTACATTCC